AGACATCTAATATTCGCAATAACGGTTAATGAGATCTATTTTCAGAGATCTCAATTTTTCCGGATAAAAAAGCCTCTTTCACAACAAATATTACTGTACGCCGCACAGTTCTATCCTACAGCAGTTCCCAGGATTTTTCTTTCGATCGAGCTCTTACTCATTTTTATCCAATAACCGTGCAATAAGCTCATATTCCTAGCAGTCTAGTATCTAGTCGCCTCTCTCTCTCTCTCTCTCTCGTGATGTGTTTTAATATAAATGTTTTTATCTCTCACTAAAAATAATTGAAAAGACAACAATAGTTCTCTCTCAACGTATTATTGGCAATATTTCTTTCATTTGCTTTTAATAGGAAGTTCGTGGAACTAATATATCTATCTTGTAAGAAATATTATTTATTCCAATAAAACTATATATACATTTTTCACTAAATAAATTTCTTTTACGACGTATTAAAAATACGTCGATAATGGTCTACTTTCACACTTATTGGAAACAGATTATTGGAATTTATTGCGGGATTGCAAAAATTTATTAGTTAGAAAGATTTAATATAAATATCTGCACAAAGTATAATTTACGTATTTTTAGTTTCGTAATATCGAGATAATTAACGTCTCGTCATATCTCATTAGTTAATTCCGATTCTGTCACATCGAAAAATAGAACTTTTTTAAATGCAATACAAATATTTGATTACTTTAATGATTTTTCAATGCCCCAATAATCAATGTTTAGATTTTTAATTAGATTCTTTGTAGATACATAATTTTTTATAAATGGCATAATATAATGAACAACGTTAAATAAAAATTAACCAAGAAATATTCAAAACAAATATATGAAGAAGACGAGGAAGAGACCATATTCGGCCAAATCGAATCTCGGTGTCTAATAATGAGTGCTTTCCATTTAGTGACACAAGTCGACACAAGTATCATTCTGTCCTAATTGTTATTCATGGAATTCAAAAAAAGATAGAACGACATTTTGTGTTGATTTATGTCACTAAATGGAAGACACCCAATATTTTTATATGAATTTTTTCCGCTTCAATCGAATCTCTTCACTCGTTTGTGTTCAATATAATGACATTAATCACTTTATCGTATCAGAGGAAACGATAAAGTAACATGGTAATTTCTCTCTCTAGGCAAGACCGACGATAGTAATTTGATGGGACCATCCTCTCGATAACTTCCACACTACTCCGTACATCTACATTTCCCTCTACAGACCTTACTAATGACATGCGTGAGATATATTCGATGTAGTGACATGTCGCTTATTAGTAATTGAGTAATTGGCGAGAAGATCGATGTGAAACTTACATGAAATTGTACATACAAATTTCAACGAATGGAATAACCAACTTAAAAAATGATTAAATAAATACGATTAAATAAACAAAAATGATTAAATAAACTGAAAAAATGATTAAATAAACATAAAAATAAAAATCACACGCGCAAATACTATATACATAGACGCGCACGCGTTAACAGAAGAGTACTCTTTCAATCATGATGGATACTAGAAAATAAGTTAGAAAGCATCATATTTACCCTATTACAGAATATTAAAAATTAAAAGATATTAGTTAATCAAGCATGGACAAACGATAGTCAAATATAATTTTTTAATTAAATTTAATTGAACATGACAGAAATTTTATATATCTGATACTTTACTATTACTCAAAATAATTAATATAATATATTGACGAATAAAAACAAAATAAATCATAAATGATTAAAACTTTCTATATCGAAGAAAAATTTGTTTTTTCTCAGTTTTCTTGAAATTGATCAAATAATTTATGCTTTTTACTTTTTTCTCCTTTTTAATCTCGCGCTCTTCGTCGAAATGACTTTGAAAAAATCATTTGTAATACGGATAAAATGTTTTCTGAAATTATCATTGATACATAATTGAGTATCAATCTCTACCTGGAGAGTTTTTCGATTCATACAATGGAATTTAGGCTTTACACATGGTTTCAATCGTCGATTTATGAAGCCATAGACGAGTTTTAATATTTGTGGCAGCGAATTATCCACCCATTATCATTATTACACCGTCATCTTGTCACTGTGAACACAGATATACAGCCATCAAACATATCAGTTTGTAATATCTGTGGATCTATGCACTAGTTCTACGGAAACTCTATTAGTGTATGCAAATTCGTGGCACATAGTTGCATGTTTTGCTATATAACGATCGTTATAACGCTATTATATAGAGTAAAAAATCTCTCAAGGAAGGTCCATGCACGAGAGAAATAACAAATAATAATTATTTATGATTCAATGCTGTAATACGTCAGAAATGTAAAGGTTTATAAACTAATCTTTATTATAAATAGTTACATGTAATTGTCTATATATGTATAATTAAGGATTAATTTTTCTGTGTGGATAACAGAAAGAAATCAAATATTATTTAAATCCTTTTTGTACGTAACGCAAGATTTTAATTCTTTAACATGTAGAAAACTGTAATGAAGAGGAGTAAATATTATACATATTATTCTTAGTTTTGTTCCAAAAATTATGAATTTTAGTAGTTATACCTTCAACGTAGATATGGCTTAAAAGGCATAATATGCTATAAATAACACTATATTATAGCTTTATAGCATATAATATGCTATAAATAGACATTATAAAATGTCAAATATGCATAGGCACAAACAAAAAATTTGTGAATCGCATGCTGCTATTTTTCTATGATGCGTCAATCGATCGTATCTCCCGGTACTAGGAATATCCGCGAAATTGAAATGGCCGTGCAAGATCACAGATGGGAGGAGGGAGGAATGCAATTTCTGCCACGATACGAAAATTTTCGATGCCATTTCTGCCGTGCCACCATTCGAGGTTACTGAGCTATCGCACCTATTTCGTAGGATTAAATCTTTAGATATATGTTCCACGTTGATGTTTTGAATTAGAAAAAAGTGATAACGATAATCACGTTGACGTCGTTGACACATATATAAATAATCACATACTCATCTAGTTTAAAAAGAAAGTTTATTTTGGATTGTTTAATTTTATAATTCAATTCAACTTTAAACGACATATCACGACGAACTGACACGATTCTATAATCAGAGGAACGAGACATGTATTAATTTATATTTTAACTTTTAAAATTGTGAATCAATGTTTCTGAACTTTGTTTTTGTTTCCTATTGAGCGTATTGATTACTGCATTTCTGTCAATCTACAAGCGACTTATTCTCAATGGAGAATTTTATATTTCTGTTTTTCGCTGAGGATGACTCCAAAGTGAGCCGAAACGTTCGACACAATAAATGAAGATAATCATTAACACCTAAGTATTATCTGTATCTCCTAAGGCGTCATCTACAATATGCGAAGTAAGCTTGGTTTAAGAAGTAAGAGTAAGAAATTGACTAATCACAGTCGATTGTGAAAAGAATACTTGACTGTGATTGATCAATTTCTTACTCTTACTTCTTAAATCAAGCTTACTTCGTATATTGTAGACGACGCATAACTCTTCGCTCTTACATCAGCGTTAGACTCTCACATTAGCCTTGTCTGAATTTCTATTTTATTATTTAAGATTGAGAGTTCTTATTTATATATTTATGTAATTGCTTATTAATTTTATAATTGTATCAGAAAATTGTTACAAAAATAATATTAATCTTGAAATTAATTTATAGAATATTGTATTTAAAGTAAACATTATATGTACAAGAAAATTCATGTATTTTTAAGTCTTTAAAATTAAAACTACCTTATTTGCTAGTATTTAAACAAAATCATCAGAATCAGAACGTAAACACAATTTATAATATCAGAATTGTTAAAGAAATATAATATTATAATAAAAGATTTTATTAATTAAAATATTCTGCTAAGAAGATACGAACCGAGCATCTTGTGAAACGGCTATTTTAACTTTGCGGATAGTAAAAAGTTGATTCTAACTTCATAAGCGAACAAGAAATTGTCATTAAGGTTTAACGCTTCAAGCACTAGTAAAACAAACTTTTGTTCCCGTCGCGGTAAAAACCTTTTCACGTTCGTCGATAATTTTCGCTGTTATAGGCGTTAAATTTAAAGTTTGGCACAATAAAATAAATTATAACCTATTTTATATATACTAAATAGGTTAATCTAGTGTAATCCATCTTTAAGCATGAAAAAAACGTGCTTTTTATTTATCACAGGAACTTATAATTAAGTTTACAGTGATAAAACAAAATCTTTCAAATATAACTGTTAAAAACTATCCTATAAAAATAATATTTTTTATTATAAAAAAATGCAATTGAGCTTGAATAAACTTTTAAATATGCAAAACTGTTCTTTGACAATGTTTAGAAAACAATCAATGTAACATCTGTGAGTTTTCATATCAGTTGCAGTTTACCAATTCTCTATTATAGATAGGCTCAGGAATAGCTCAATTATATTGACCAAAAGAAGAAAGTTGTAGCCATGGATTATCAATCATAAGGTCTGTTTTTTGTGGCTGAATCAGTGTACACTTTTGAAACTTAAAGTGAGATATGTATATGTTTGATATTTGAAAATGAGAAAGAGAGTTCTATAAATGCAGTCTAGTGCAGAAACAGAAAACAGATCAATAGCTGCATTTTTATATAAATATTGCAGTAACAACTACGCTTATTTATATGAGTTTTCGTAAAATTTTTGAAGAGAGTTGTCAATTCCACTAACAATTATACAATAATTCTCATATTTATATTAAATAATCTTATATGATGTAAATTAATATATATTTTTTAGTCATTGTTACTGTATTTATGTTTTGACGAAAAATTCTATTATGCTTTTAGAGCGTACGTGTCTTAGTCGATAGACGATGACCGACTGGCCGTCGTCGTGGTGGAGATGACTACCAGGTTAGTGGCTCGTCCTGAAGACGACGACGACGACGACGAGGTCCACGAAGGGGCACGAGACTCGGCTGTGGGCTATCACTGCCACTGATAGGGCCGGCATCCCATCGCAGCTCACATCGATGCCGACTGCCACATCTACGAAACGAGGTATGATGACATATACGTTGTTGAATACGTTTCTGTTTTCCTATATCATAATTGTTGTGATACATACGTTTCATAAATGTATACAACAATGTTTTATGTTATTAATTTTAATGACTATAACAGAATTTTTTTATGAAACATATTTTTTTACTTATTAATATCAATATTATTAAATTTGCTTGTCAATTTAATATGTGATATTACCATATTACTACTTTAGTTCGGTTCATAATTGCATTTTAAGATCGAAAATTTTAGCGTGCGGTTTGTAGAATTGGTTATGTATATAAATTCATTCCGAAATAATTATTTAAATACTAACAAGTAAACCTACGGAAGTGTCATTCACTGATTTTAATGAAACTTTGCATATTTGTAGAACTATGAAAAATATTTGACACGTATTTTTTTTATCAGCAAAGGTTCGCTCTGAAGAGTGAAAACTACCCCTTAAAGATAAGGGGTAGATTTAATATAGTGAAATAAGCCATATTGGGTCGGCCATTTTGAATTTCATACTTTTGATATAAGATTTAGTTTCAGCGACCCCAAAAACCCCTAATCCATTTTACTTTTCAACTTATTTCACCTAATATATTAAATCTACCCCTTACCTTTAAGGGGTAGTTTTCACTCTTCAGAGAGAACTTTTGCCGATAAAAAAAAATACGTGTCAAATATTTTTCATAGTTCTACAAATATGCAAAGTTTCATTAAAATCGGTGAGTGACATTTCCGTTTACTTGTAAGAGCGGTATTCATAGTCGATTCTTATATTTAAGACCGTCTTAAGTATAGCCTTAAGATGTTTATTGAACCAGTCAGAGAGCCGTATTAGCATTTTAAGACATTATTTAAGACGATTTTATAATAAGAACGGACTATGAATATCGCCCTCTGATCAGCTTTAATCGATAATAAGATTTCCCTTATTTAATTAAATTTATCTTCATTAATCCAATTTAGAATTATAATTATTTAATTTAATAATACACATAAAAAGAGAGAAAGAGAGAGATGCAGTGAGATAAAATAGTTGTAATAATGAGAACAAGTATGTTACTGGGGCAATATTCTCTATCTTCCATCACTCTGTTCCCGATTCCATTTCGCAGTTAACATAGCTAATGAAACAAAAGAGGATGTTTCGCCATATATTGTGTTTAATTATGCAGCAACAGGGGAGGGAAGTTCTTATCAATAAGTTCTTAACAATTATTTTTACTCAAATAATCAAAATAAAAAGGGCGAACACGTTCGAAAAGATAAACTGCTATTAAATCTCAAGCAAATATGATCACATCAATCAATATTTATTACATAGAAAGTTGCAAAGCACATCTAAGTCTTGTAAAATAATGAGAGATTCGCATGTTCGCTCAAAAAGGCTAGTTTAACAATTAAGGTGATTCTTTAGTAAATCGAGTTACCATAGAAATGTCTAATTTTTTTATATAATGAAGTTGAAATATCGAAATTGACGTGTGCAAAATTCTACGGTAGATTAACGATGAAATAAGAGAGAAAAAAATATTGAAAATATAACTTTCCACGTATAACTTAGTGACAGACAAGGCTCGCAAACGTTTCTTTGCATACAAATGCTACCTGCATACAAATCTTAAATAGACTTTTCTTAAAAACGAGATTATATTAGTTTAAAAAATTATGATTTTAATGGTCACAAAAAAGTAATAGGTCAACGGCTATTCTGGAAAGATATTTACGTACATAAACTTGTATATAAATTTAACCTCGAAAAGTAAACATAATTTCATCTTGTTTTTGTTCGATAAAGATGCTCTTGATTTATTATCGTATGTTTCATATTATTTCATTAAGATATAGACGTAGTTTTAATATTTTATTCAAATTATGCAGATCTTTGTAATTTTGGGTGAGCCCTGGTGAGGCACCAAAAAAAAAATTTTCGGCACTTTACTAAAAAACCATCTTAAAGAGAAACCGCGTATAGTAAAATCCAGTGTAAAAATGAAACGTTGATGCTTCTATTTGAATAAATATTGATGTTATATCACAATTTATGATAAATTGATTCTTGACTGTGTTGCTTGCCGCTCTTTCATTGTATTGATTCTCTAATGCAACATCTTCGGTCTATTCTAGGGGAATATTTGAAATTTTTTAAATGTGTGTACTGTGTATGGAATAAAATTTGTCTACATAATGTATAGCGATATTCTCAAATCGCTATCGAATTGTTGAAAAACCGACTTATCTTAATTTTGTAGCAAACTGCAGAATTGTCAGCGGAAAATATCGGAGAACGGGAAAGGGAAAAGGGACGTGGACGACTAGTGATCAACATCGAGGTAGAGTCGGTAGTATTTAGGACTCATTGTTCTTCTAGTAGTTGCCTATGCATTGATTCGATAGAAGGGCTTATAGCTGTCTCTATCCGTCATTTGTCCCCTTTCGCCTTTATTCATCTGCCTCACGGCTTTTCTCGTGGGGAGAGGCACTAAGATCCCTCAACGGTACTTTATCCTTGCTCCGATGCGATCTCCCCTTGAACTTTGATATTTACCCTCTGGACCCTGCTTGCTGTAACGATTGACGCGGATCTACAATGATAATGACTCTAACGCGGATCTACCGAAACAATCGTGAAACCATCTCCTTTCAATATCTACGTCAAATTAAAAATATTAAAATTATCAATACCTAAGAGAGAAGTAACAACTCTGTTGATCAAAGTATTTATTGACATTACGCGTACGACATAAGTGTTCGCTCTTAATTTGCATTTTTAGGACATCTGTGGACAATCTGATGACAGTCATCGTGGAAATTCTACGCGAACACGTTGACGTTTCGACGATTTAAATAAAAATTCAGAAAAATAAATGTGTCTCCTACACGATACTGAAATTCCGTCGTAAATGCTTCCAAGAATACCGATTTCTTCGCGTTCCCGCAAACAGAGAACTTTTCTCCACACATGGGTTCGCGTGTTCATCTATGTTCCATTTGTCTCCCCTTAAGTATCGATCGTCGAACGACACCGACTATGAAACTCTGTGAACTTGCGAGTTGCGAGAGGTAACCTGTGGAATTGACAGAGCAAAAAGCTCCTTTCGGATCTGAAGTTTGGCGCGTGGAGAGATTTGCAAATTCGGTGCTCCCAAGCACGAACGCTCGCGAATATCCGTTCTATGTAAATCGGCAACCTGCATGGCAAACGCGTTCGCGGACGAATTCCGCATATGAATTACCGAAAAACGATTTCTATTATACGTCACGCATGGATACTACAGCCTTAAAATTTAATATTCACATGTACATATACATACACTAAAAAATGTATATGTATGTTTGTGTAAACTATCAAAATTAATCGCTTGTTTATTTGTGATATATAAACGAATAATATTACAAAAAATATATTTAACAAAATTTTGAACGTGTGCAAATTTTTTATTTTACTACTTTTTTAAATTTTATTACAGTCTTGTTATATTTGGATTGTATTCTTTAAAGTTACCTATATGTTTTTGGAAAAATTCGAAGATTATAATAATACTAAATTAATTTTTAAATAAAAAATGTCTATTTTCAAATGATATAATATATTCAATAATATAGGAATAATATTTAAGCGTAACATTTAACATAACATAATATATAGAAGCATTAAAAGGCATAAACATTAAAGTACAAGCTTTGAAGAAGTATTATGTATAACATGAAATAATAGTATTTCTAATTTGTCTGTAACTAAAAAATTGAACTTGGACCATAAAAAATGTATCCATTAAAAAAGCATTAACACTTCATGATTTAAGGCATGGTACTAGGTGTTTTCCAGCAAAGACTGATTGTGTCCTTGCTGGAAAGCACCAACTGTTATCAGACAGTGAGTGAGTGAGTGAGTGAGTGAGAGAGAGAGAGAGAGAGAGAGAGAGAGAGAGCGCGCATTTTAAACCTTCTTTTTAAATTTCTGACAGCATAAGATAAAGTACGTGATTACGTATAAACATTGAACATGCATTATTTTATCTATAAATAAAATTACTGACCACGAAACCAATTATAGACGCAATAACGTTTTTATATTAGACTAACAGCGTAACAGCCGAGCGGAAGTCAATAAATTATCACATATTCTCTCCTGCACGTATTCTAATGAATTCGACAAATTCACACCAAGGAAAAAGTAGAACGTTATAGAACTCTTACTGTCTTCAGCATAGTTAGATTATAGTCTGAATTATCCGGTTTTGTCGAGGTCATGTTTATTCTATCTATTGATCGCAGGATATCACAAATAGAGTATGTAATCTACTTATATGAAATCTATGAAGTTACAGGAACAGACTGAAAACTTATCCCAGTACTCGTTTGAGGAAAAACGCAGTTACTCATTTTTATCTAATATAAAGAAAAGATAATGTTTATCCTAAACATTTTCTCCCATGGACACGAATTAAAAATTAAATTTGGAATCATGATGTCAAGAACTATATGGAATTTTAGAAAGATGATTAATACTAGGAAATAAAAATTGATAAATGTGTTTTGTGTAAATGAAATTACGGGTATTTGTTTAATTTAAATATGACAATGATAAAATTATAAAATAATTTAAAGAATATTATTACGATATGAAGAAGACGATACATTGAATGTGTGGTTATACCGTTAGAATGATTCAATCAGTATCTCGAATAATGAAATTTGTAATGGAATAATGTTATTAGAACATAAAAATCGTTTCTCGATCATTCTCTACGCCATATTGATGGACTTTCTTTCATCGTGTTCATCGATCATATCAGTCAAGGCAGTCAGCTGTCTGGGAAATTAATAACGAAGTCAGCACTTATGTAAAATATTCTAACATAGCTCAGAGACGGTAAATTTTGCAGAATATTGAAACCGTAAAAAGCTCTCTCTCCATCGATTTACTTGACTATGTTTGGAATTCGACATCTCAATTAAGGGAAAATCTTTGAAATACAATTTTCGGTCCTTTGACT